CACAATAATGTTATATAATAATGTTATATAATATTAGAAACAATTAGTTACTCTTTTCTATTTACATATAATGGCTAACGTAATCCTCGCGTATAGATATCGTATAAACCGCCTCTCCTCCTGGAGCTGAAGCAGTCCATGCGCTGTCTTGCATTGCGCGTATAGGCATCTAGCCGTTCTCATGCGCGCATGAACGGTGAATGGAATGAAACAGAACGCAGCCATTCACTTTCAAAGTTTCAGCTTTTAACACGTAAACTCCTATATCAAGCCTTGCCAAAGTAACGTTTTAATATTTTGTGATAAAAATCTTCTATAGATTTAAAAAAAATATATATATATAATGTAGAAATATTATAAAAACTTTATAAAATAAAAATGAAAAGACCTAGCATTTTTGAATTTGCCGTTTTTGAATTAGAGTAACTTAAATTTGTAATTTGATGGAATTCTCTTTCTCGCACGCCGAGCGGGAAAATAGGGATGTTGCTGCCACATTTCAATTCTTTAATGCAGGTTCATGCATACAGATAGAACAAATATACGTATGGGTATGTTCGCCTTAAAAGTTTCTCTCTTCAGAGAGCATGCGCGGAGAGGCATAGGTATGGGACTAATTTTCTACCGCGATTGTAGCCGGAGAAATATGTAGCCTTGCTTGTAAGTGGGAGGAAAACATTATATAATCATCACAAAATAAACGAAATTCGCAGTACGATAATACACTAAGTAGTATTACTAGTTCATCGTTACTCGAAACAATGTTGTTTATTATTATTATATTAAGTTTAACATGTGTCGTAATAAGTCGTTTTGTTCAAAATTATCGTTTGTTTACCTTTCAAACGACGAAGCCGTTACCTGGACCAATAAGACTACCATTTATCGGTAGCCTTTTTCTTTTTCTATACCGTAATTCCGAGGGTAATAGATTTGTTTAATTTATAAAAGATTATACAAGGTATGTGATAAGTAATGATAAACCTCTCGCACAGGTAGAGCGGACCAAATTGAGTCAAAAAGTTCTCTACTATTTTACAATTTTCTCAATAGTTAACAAAATATCAATCACTAAAAATCATGAATATTGGTTTTTAATAATTTTTTACTCAAGTTCTATCAACTTTACAAAAAAAACAGCTAAAGATAAAAATTGTTTATTTTCTTCTCATAGAGCTCAAACAATTTTTTAAGAATTTTTTCAAAATTTTTTAATACTATATTTTCTTCTATAATGGTAAAAATGAGAAAATACGGTACTAAAAAGTTGATAAAAAATTTAAAAAAAATTTATAGAGTCCTATGAAAAGAAAATAAACAATTTTCGTCTTTTGCAGTTTTTTTGTAAAGTTAATAGTATTTGAATAAAAAATTATTGAAGACCGTTTCGGTAATTTTTAACAATTAATATCTTGTTAACTATTACAAAATGGTACAGAACTTTTCTTCTCAGTCTATTTTATCTTTATGCAAAAGATTCATTATTATTTTCCAAACAATATATATATCATACAAGATGTCTCACACAAGTTTTTGCCAACCGTTTTTGTGTAGATAGAAAGGACTAAACTAAGTCGAAAAGTCCTCTTCTCTACCATTTTGCAATTTTCGAATAGTTAACAAGATATTAATTACTATTGCCGAATATTGGTATTGAATAATTTTTTACTTAACTACTATCAACTTTACAGAAAAACTGCGAGAGACAAAAATCATTAATTTTCTTTTCATAGAACAAAGAATTTTTTCAGAATTTTTTATTAACTTTTTAGTATTGCATTTTCTTATTTTTACTAATATGAGAAAATATTAATTGGGGAGTCTCGTGTGACATTTCATGCTGTCAACATCTGCTCGCCGCTTTGCTCTGATTTTGCTTTCCTAGTTTCAACTTCTGCGTTCTTTCTTGTGAGAAGTGCTGCCTATTTTATATCATTATTATGCTTACTATGGTCATTGGTGGTTATTGCAACACCTTAGTTTTTTATTTTCTAATTTTTTTTAATTTTTTACTTTTAACGTTTTTGTGAATGCTGGTCGGCGAGCAGAATGTATTTCTGTGAGTGAGTAATGCGATTTTTCTGCGTTTTCATTACCTTATTAGTGCGTTAGTTAGTTGTGCGTCTTTCTTTACATTCTTGTAATATTTTATCATTGTGTATTAATTTCTTTGATCACGTCATAATTTTATGTTCAAATCTAGCTGTTATATTCGTTATCGTTATTGTTTGTTCATCATTCGCTTCTGTCTTTAATGTTAAAGTCTTCTAAAAAAAAAAGGCCTATGGGGAAAAAGATTGTAATTTTACACTAATGTATGAGATGTTATAGCTTTATGAATATGTGTACTTATTTCTAGAACATTTGTATAAGGAAAAATTAACAATTTAATGATATCAAATTTCAACTGGATATATTTCCGGATACTAATGATATCCGGCTATCCGGTCAAATAGTAAAAAAGTGCTGGATAATATCGAATACCGGATACTTTCCAGATATCCGGTGCATCCCTAATTTTGACCAACATTAGAAAATGCAAAACTAAAAAATTCTAAAAAAATTCTCAGAACTTTATAATAAAAAAATAAATAATTTTTGTCACTGGCTGTTTTTTTGTAAAGTTGCTAGTACTTGAGTAAAAAATTATTAAAAGTCAATATTTGGAGAGTTTTAATAATTAATATCTTATTGCGAAAATTATAAAATGATGGAGGACTTTTCGACACAGTCTGTTCTATCCCTATGCGAGAGTTATCGTTACTTATCAAATATCTTGTATAATTAACGTAAAAAATTTTTTTTAATTAAGTCCCTCGAAACAAAATTTACCGTTATATTAACTTTGATGTATCAGTTTAATATTAGAATGATTAGAAACAGAATTAAATTTCAATAAAGGTTCAGTATTTTATAAATATCAATTAATTAAATATCTTTACATTGTTTGATGAATTCGCGAGTACTATTTGTAAAAATGATATATATATCTTATGTAATTGCAAAAAACTTAACCAAATAAAATATATTAAATTATTAACAAATATATTGAAAATTGCATTAAAGTTTAATATAGAATGTTATATACCTATAAAAAGTCTAAATCTTTTAGAAGTACTTCAAAATGTGTATCTTAATATGATCAAAAATTTAAACAATATAATAAATTTCGCGAATAATCTCACAACTATATGTACACATATGCATTAAAATTTTTCAGATTATTTAAATATTTGGACTAAGTTCACTGAAACTTATTCATCTCCATTTCGAATATGGATAGGCCCAAAGTTATTCATCGTAATGTATGAACTGGACCAAATAAAGGTAGAAAAATAGCAGTTACATTCTGCCGTGTATAAATATTTATTAACTTAGCTATCTTATATATTTAATGTGTCCCTCCATACAATGCTACAACGATTTCAGCACATGAAAACAAGTCATAAACGTCTAACAATGATATATCCGATTCGGTTTTGGAGTTAAAGTAAACGTCCTACACAACTTTCTCTTCTTGTATTTTTTTTGGAAAAATGCTTTCTTTCCGAGTTATTAGCGTGGAAAGATTAAAATGGACTACCCTGTATGTATAAGTAAACAGTTCCACGCGAATTCTACAATTATTTGTGATTTTGCGAGATTATGTAATTCTTCAATACATGAAAATGTGAAATTGTTCGTAAACTTTTTTGCCATGTATATATTATATTAATTATTTGGTTGAAGCAAACATGCATAAATACTAATAAATGTGTGATGTTGTAGATTGTCTTACAAAACCGTCATTGTTTGAATAAAAGTTTTATATATAACTGTCTAAAACCAGTATTTGACATGGGATTAGTGACAGCTCCTGGTAAGATATATTTAGACAAATAGAATACTTATTTAATTGTATAACTTATTTGTAATTAATAGATTTATATGTACTAAGAAATGTTAACAATAAAGATTATTCTTTTATTATCATCTATTTATTTACAATGTAAAGTAGAGAATGCACCATGAACGACATTATGACTGCACTTACTTTTATTTTGTATTTCACTTTTAATTTCTAATAAATCTTGATAAGTTTTTCTCTTCATATAAGATATTTTTATTTGAACTTTATAGCTACGCTACGAAGCTGTTAAGAAATAGTTTATTTTTAAATATTTATTATTATTATTAATTAAGGTTTGTTACTTCTTCTTTTATTATTATGTTGTAATATTTAATTTAGCATCTACATGGACTGAAAGTCGAAAAATAATAGCACCAGCATTTGGTATGATCCCGATGAAAAAATATTTTAACATATTTGTTCAAGAATCTTTAATACTTACTGAAGATTTAGAAAAAATTGCACAAAGTGGAAACGAAATTGAATGCCTTGACTATCTATGCAGATGTACCTTAAAAATTTCATGTGGTAAGACAATGCAATTTAT